TTTTCCATAATGTTAAAAATTTTTTCTGTGGTACATGATCAGCGGTTTTTTCTCGTAATTAGTTTCATTTTCCCCTGAATCAATACGTCTTTTTTCGCACTTTGGGGGGGGGGGGAATGGGACCCACTTCATGTTGGGCCCCCTGCGTTTTTACAAGTGAACCTCATGTTTATCACTATAATTTTTTCACAAAACGTGATAAAAATCACTTCCCAATGATTAAAAAACCCAATTTGGGCAATAGTGTCCGTCTGTATTCAGGACAGGTAACTTTAACTTAGCTGCTTTTAGTGCTGCAACTGTTTTTTTTTTAATTTCCCCGGATTTTGCACAGACTTAGGGCAAAGCCTCTACTACCCCAGTTCCCACTGTCCTTTTTTCCCGTTTCCCAGACCAACAGTGATTCTGGCAAAGGGCATAGTTTGTTTACCAGAATCTGGATAAAACCCGCTTTTCTAACTGTAAAATTTGGGATAGGGTTGTTTAAACCCCGTTTTTTTGAAAAAAACGTTTTTTTCTTATGAAGGGGCCTTTGTGAGCCTTTATCAAAAAATTTTTGCACATTTTTTTGTTTAATTTTTTAGATAAATCAACCGGCTATCGGGAGAGCATTTTCTTTAAAATTATCTCTCACATTTTTTTGCTGTTTCTTGTTGGGCTTCCTTTATTCCGTGGGAAATCTGTGCTGTTCAGCAAAAGGGAATTTTGGGGTTTAAAGCTGTATGATGCCTTTCCCTTGCATTTAAAAAAACCTTTTTTTTTTCAGTTGAGCTTTTCCTCCCTTGGTTCACCTAAACACTTGTGCCTCTTTTTTAGTGAGAACACGTTTTTTTAAAGTGCCTCCACCATGTGTTTTTGAATTAATACGTGCCCAATTTGTTCCATCACAAAGTACACATTTTTGGGGTACTTTTTTTGTGTGACAGTTTGTTTTTCTGTTTTGTTGTTTTTCACCGCTTGATAAATGCCCCTATGGGGTTTTCCCCTTTTTGTGTTTTTGTGGGAGTAGTTATACTCTTTTTAAAACTGAGTTGGGTTTGTTTTCCACCCGGGGGTTTTGGATTTTTCATCTTTTCCGTTGCTTTCTGCATGAAACTATTGTTTGAAAAAACCCTGCTAAAATTTTTTCACAAATGGGAAAAAGCGTTTATTGAAAAAATATTTAATCGTTTTAATAGTTTGTGTGAAAACTTTTTTTTACAATACCCCGATAAAACCCAAACACATTGTCTTAGGGCCCTATTTAGCACCCAGAGATCTGAGACAATTTTCCCCAATTTAATTCTAAAACCCGTAATCGGAAAAAAAAATGGTTTTTTGGCTTCAAGCTTGATATTAAGGGGCTGAAAGTCCCAAACTTTGGGTTGTCAGATCAAAGTAAATTTTCTGCTAAGCACTTTTAAAACTATTTTTATAAAATTTCCCTTTTAAACCCCCGGAAATGAACCCTTTAAAAAAATTCATAGGGTTCTCCCTTCACAAACAAAAAAAGGTTTTAAAAAAACTTAGGGAATCTCATCTATTCAGTTCGTGAAATTTTCTATAGATTGAAAACCACTAATGAATTCTTTGTAAATTTTGGGCCTTGGGGAAAAAATAAAAGACAAAAGTAGGTAAAAATTGGTAATGGTACACTTGTTGTTTTTACAGGGTTTAAAAGGTGTTTGACCCCTAGTTTTCAGTAGGTCCTGTGACCCGAGTTTTGCAGCAGATAGCTTTTTAATCCCGTCCACCTTTTAAATTTTTGATTACAAAAAGTATCCAAAACATTTTTTAAATTTTATCCTCAGATGGGTCTGATTCAAGAAATTTTTTTTTTCATAAGTGTAAAGTCTGAATTAATTATTTCCAGACGTCGTGTAAAAAATTTTTAAAAATTTTTTTGACCTCAAGTCATCAAAAACTATGTTTGTTCTTGGGGTTAAACCCATACAGATGAAATTAGATTTTTTAATTGTGTAATCTTAGTCTGGGAAAGGGTGAAAACCCGAGTTTTCAAACAAGCCGTTTAAAAGGGTTTTACTGAAAAAATTTAAAAACCCCACTTTGAGTGTTTAAAAAAAAACGTACTGCTATAAACAGGGTGAGTTAAAAGTTAGCTTAAGCAGCAAAATCAGTCAGCACTACTACCAAATAAGCTTAACCTCAGGGTCAAACCCTAAGGGTACAGAATTTTATATGGCTTGGGGTTTATGGCTTTTAGGGTTTTCTGGTCAAGGGCCGAAAAACGAAGAATTTAAACGTAAAAAATGTTTAAAAACTTTTTCACAACACAAAAAAAGTCACTGTAAATTTTTAAATCACACGTGAAAATTACTTACACATACATAAAGTCACGTTAATATGTATTTTAAACTTACACTTTATATATAATTTTCCCTTTTAAAAAAACAGGAAAATCTTAAAAAACAAACAAAAACAATCTTGTCTCTTAATTTCTGTTTATAAACATTTAAACACTATGTGTAAAATTAAAACTCAGACCAAAACCCAACATCATTGGGGGTTTTTTTGTCCCAAATCAGCGTTTTTGAGATTGGGGCAGGGAAGCAGGGTGCCATCCCCCGTTTTCTTTTTGGGTGAGTCACCCAGCCCCGTTTCTTTGGGTGAACGCTGGGTGAGCGGGCCCCTTTTCTTTTTGGGTGCCCATTCTCTTTATTGAAGGTTTTGGGGGACTCATTTACTGATTTATATTGTAAACACTAAATTTTACAGCTTTTTTTTAAGGACCTTGGCTCATAGGGTTTTTTGTACACTTTTAGTACAACATATTTGGTCCCCAGTGTGGCCTTTTTTCCGGGTTTGAGCACGACCAAAAAAGTTTGGGAAAAGGTTTTTCCAGCTAAGCTTTTACATTTTGTTTAAAAAAGGGGAAAAAACTTAACTTGAAAGACAGCTCATGCCTCCCCACCGCCCCTGCAGACGAGGCTTGAAAAAAACTGTCGAAGTATTCCTCAACGGGCGAAAAGAGTTATAAAATTGTAAACAATAAATTACCCCAAAGGGGGGGTTTTTTCAGCATAATTTTATTCACTGATTGCTGAAAAACTTACTTGTTGGTTGGGGCTTGAAAGGGCCGCATATCAACCCGGGGGAAAAAAAAATTTTTTAACTCACGACTTTTTACTCAACGCACAGTCAAAGTAGTACAACATGATTAGAACACTTTCCGGGTTTTATTTTAAACTACCCTTTAATTTGCCCGGGTATCCCCGAGTTTATTGAAGAAAAGTGTTTTTGAAGAATGTCGCACTTTCACCTGTTGGATTGGGAACACCGTTTTTACACTGTTCATCAATTTTGTTTCCCCAAAAACACTAAAAGTTGAAACAAACTTCCGTAAGTGTATATCGTGGGTTTTTTGAGACACTTTGTTTTACACTAATGCCAGATCGTTCTTTTTTGGTTTTTCCTGGCATAGTGTCACTTCAGTAGAGTCAAAAGTAATCTCAAAGACGCACACACCCCACACCCTTTTCCCCCAGCACAAAAAGAAAAAGCTGGGCCTTTTACTTTTTGCTTCCTTGCCACTTCCTCGATGAAGCAAAGCAGAATGTTTGAAATTTTTGCTGTCTTTAAACAAAAGACCAAAAATTTTACAAATAACTTACCATGGTTATAAAATGGGAGAAAAAATTTTCCTTATTGCCCCGCTAAGGTAAAAGATGGACTGTCTCTTATTAAAATACACTTTACAACCCGCAAGGCGGGGTCGAAAAACCAAGTCCAATACTCATACTGCATCTGCTATCAATTACTTGCTGTAGCAGTAAACAAGATGCTTGCCCCTTCTGAGAGGGCTGGGCCCCTCAGGGCTGAAAGGGGCTGAAGGGGCTGAAAGGGGCTGATACCCCCCTCCTGGAGAAAATTTCTCCACAGAAAAGGTTTGCAACAAGGTTAGTTCCAGAGCTCAGGGGAATGCCCTACGAAGAAAGGTTGAGGGAAATCGGCCTGACGACACTGGAGGACAGGAGGATCAGGGGAGACATGATAACGACATACAAAATACTGCGTGGAATAGACAAGGTGGACAGAGACAAGATGTTCCAGAGATGGGACACAGAAACAAGAGGTCACAGTTGGAAGTTGAAGACTCGGATGAGTCACGGGGATGTTAGGAAGTATTTCTTATAATAATAATAATAATAATAATAATAATAATAATAATAATAATATCTTTATTTACTACAAGTACATGGTATACAGGCCTCGCTGACAACAATGACATACTACTGCATAGAAATCTCCTTGTTATGCTCAGCATTTCGGGCAAATTAGGTCAGTGTCCCAGGATGCGACCTACACCAGTCGACTAACACCCAGGTACCCATTTTACTGATGGGGAACATAGACAAGAGGTGGAAAGAAACACGCCCAATGTTTCTACTCTGGCTGGGAATCGAACCCAGGCCCTCGCCGTGTGAAGCGAGAGTGTTAGCCACCAGGCCACCAGTCGTCAGGAAGTGGAATAGCCTAGCAAGTGAGGTAGTGGAGGCAGGAACCATACATAGTTTTAAGACGAGGTATGATGAAGCTCATAGAGCAGGAAGAGAGAGGACCTAGGAGCATTCAGTGAAGAGGCGGAGCCAGGACCTGAGTCTCGACCCCTGCAACTACAATTAGGTGAGTATTTTGTCTGACTTTTTTTGGGTTATCTCAGGTTTTCTACATATGCTGCTATGTATGATAATCTATGTAACTGTATTTGTGTATACCTGAATAAACTTACAGCATTAATTTATATTTTAGAGTTTGTGTAATAAAGTCGAGGTTCCGCCGCTCAGTATTTTATCAGACATAACTTTAATTCCAACTTATAATATCTATATATCTTATGGCTAGAAATTGCACATTTATTTAAATGTGAATAAAAGTGCATACTAAAATAAAATATTGTGATAAAAAACGCATTTCTGAAGATGATGTATATTCCATTTTATAGTAATATGTGGTAAATTATATAAGGTAAGTATATAACACAAGTTGTATATAAGAGTTGTGTTTGTTGTGGGTGAGTGAGCACTTTACCGACACTCTCTAACACTCTACATAATGGTAACTATATTATTAAAGTTTATTTGAGTATGTGACTGATAAGATGATATTGAGAGGATGAAAGCTTCCTCTGGAGGATGTTACAATACTGTAATGGGAACAAATGTTATATAATAACGTTTTGAAGTTTTGGTGATCCGTCAGTGCCTCAAGGGATGCTGGTGAGGGGTTCTTGATCCAAGGAACTGGACCTGTCTTCCCTTGGATTGACTCTTATTACCTTTCCTGGCGCTGCTTGTCCCCTGTGGGTTTAGCGCATCTCAATGATTAAAAAAAAAAAATGCTCGGCCTGGGTATTTTATGTAATATTTTAGGATTATTTACTGTTTTACATAAATACACAACTTTTACCATGTTCATTTCTCAATATTTTGTATATTTTCTCGTTTATTGTACATTGTATGTGGATATCCTTTCTTTTTGTATATTATTGTTTTGCACGTCATTCCTTTTATGTATATTATAAATAATGTATATTCTTATTCTGTATTTAATTATGTTTCATACTGATTTTAGGGGTTCAAACATAGTAATCCTTAAATAGTTTATTTAGGTACAGGTACACATAAGTGCAGTTATCATATAGTAACGTACGTGAAAATTACCTAGGATAACCATTTTTACGTGAAGTAGAACGTATAGGGTAAATTATATGATGGGCCATTCATCACGCATGACCAGCCAGCCCAGTGATGTAAGCGCCTCTAATAATACCAATACCTGTAGTGTCCCGAGTAACAAATAATTTACATTTGTTTTTTCTAATTTTTACCATATAAAATTGTCTTTACTGCAGAAAACAATCAATAGTACACACTTTCCCTTTTAAATTTTTATAAAGCCTAGTATTTACTCTTATATTTTTAATTATCTTACTATTTTTATATAATTACTGTTAGCATAATTTATGAGCTGTTTTCTGTAGTTCTAAAGAAGTATAAAGAGGTATTTAATAAACCATTAGCTAGTCTCTTCAACAGATCACCACAGACTGGTGTTGTACTGGATAAGTGGAAAATTGGCAAATGTGATATCCTTTTACAAAGTGGGAAATAGGTCGTTAGCTTCGTTTTATAGCCCAGTCAGCCGAACCTCTCTTGTGGGAACGTTGGTGGAATCAGTACTTGTGGATGCAATTCACAACCACCTTGAATGGTACGTACTGTGTATATAATTGGATTAATGAATCTCGACACTTATAAAAGGGCATTCTTACTCTATAAACTTAATTTCCTCTTCACTTAAGTATTCAAGGTTTTAGACCAAGTTAATAAGACAACAATTTTGTATACTTGGACTTTAGTAAGTCCTTTGATAGAGCTTCGCGTTCCACGCAGGAGACTGATGAAGAAAGCAGCACATGGTGTACGAGGGGAACTTATCTCCTAGGGTACAGTCCTGCCTGCAGGCAACATTGTACGTATGCATAAATGGAGAGAAATCTGAATGGGGACCCTTTACAAGTTGTGTGCCAGATGGTTCAGTATGGGGATCCTTTTTTTCAAATTCAGATTCAGAGTTTATTTCCACATGATAACATCATTTGAACAAAATTGGATGATATTACGTAAAACACGTGGGAAAGTCCTTTGGTTATGCAGAGCATTTGGGGCAAGCTTATTTTACATATATGTCTATAAGACATTAATGATATTCACCACAAAATAAATTTGGTGAAAATGACTCAAATGTAAATGAAGCTGATAAAATCATCAATGTACATGAGAAGAGAAGACATAGATTATACTATATTAAAATTATTTAGTTAATTCAAAATAATAATTCTAATAAAAATTACAAGTTACCTGAATTAATAACAGATATTTTGAGATAATATAGGCCTATATAGTAACATATGAAAGTTGAAGGAAAGCTGGAACAATAACACCTCAATTACTGGGAACGCTTGAAGTTTCTCAACCTAGAATGCAGGTGGGAGAGATACATGATTATATACACTTGGAAAATCCTAGAGGGATTAGTACCATTCATTCCATGTGAAAGCAAAAGACTCGGCAGATGATACAGCGTCCCCCCAGTTAAAAGCAGGGGTCCCACTAGCATAAGAGACAGCACAATAAGTGTCAGGGGCCAAAGACTGTTCAACTGCCTCCCACAGCCTATTGGATGTCTTCAAGAAGGCACTGGACAGGTACCTAAAGTCAGTACCTGACCAGCCGGGCTGTGGTTCGTACGTTGGGTTACATGTGGCCAACAGTAACAGCCTGGTTGATCAGGCCTTGGTCTATCATGAGACCTGGTCATACTCCAGGTATAACAGGGACAATATTGGATGAAAAATAGGGTTTCAGTATTTGTTTGACATAAACTACTGTCAGGATCACATAACGGTAAGGAGGTGCTTTTTAACAGTAGCTCTGAAGTAGTTGGCAGAGAGGGAACCTCTGAAATCTTCAGGCAGAGAGTTCTAGATTTTAGGTCTTTTTAAGCACATTGAGTGTTTTCACAAGTTGAGTTGGACACTGGGAATTTCATAGAAATTTTTGTGTCCAGTATTATACCTATGAGTGTTCCTTTGTAGCTGTCAAGAAAGAGTTTCAGAGGATTATTAATATTTAAATTGATTGTCCTTTATATGTAGTATGCACAGTAGTACAGTAGAACCTTGGTTTTTGTGATTAATTCACTCCAGAAATTGACGAAAACTGAATTGTACGAACACTGAAGCAATATTTCTCATGAGAAATAATGTAAATCCAATTAATCCGTTCCAGACACCCAAAAATATTAACAAAAAATATATTTTATAGATATTAACTATAGATTTACATACAGAAAACAATGAGAAATAAACATAAATGACTAATGAAATGGATAAATGAACATTTAACATCACTTTTACCTTTACTGAAGACTCTTGTTGGCATATGGAAGACGGTGAGGAAGGGAGAGAGAGGAGGAGGAGAGGTTATAATTTATAAGGGGAATCCCCTTCCATAAGGACTTCAGGTATCAAGGCCCTATCTGGTGTTACTTCCCTTCTTTGTCTTTTACTGCCACTAGGACCAGCTTGAGAGTCGCTGTACCCCCGTCGCACAAAAAATCTGTCCAGAGAGGTCTGTTTCTGGCGTCTTTTTAAGATTTGCCTAAAATGGGACAAGGCATTGAACATGTTGCAGACACGGCTTGCAACAGCTTTGTTAGGGTGATATTTCTCCACAAAACTTTGCAACTCACTCCACTTTGCACACATGTCCTTCATCACTGAAGAAGGCACATTCTCCTCTCTCTCTTCCTCCTCCGAAGCAATTTCCTCAGCTGCAGTCTGTTGCTGTTCCAGTTGAAGGTCTTGCAGCTCTTCAGTGGTTAGCTCTTCCCTGTGGTCGTCCACCAACTCTTCCACATCCTGGCCACTCGCATCCAACCCCACAGACTTCCCCAAAGACACAATAGATTCCACAACAGGGGTAGGGTGATGCTTACTCAATGATAAACAAGGGCAGACTGAGTCACTAGGCGCTTGAGTGGCCAAATGACGTGGGTGGGCAGGTAGGTGCATGTGGAACAGACCGTTTTCAACTCTATGAAAACCAAGGTGATGTATGAAAACGGGGACAAAATTTTTGACAGAAAGTCGTCGAAACGGAACCCAAAAAAAAAGGGGGCATATAAAAACCCGGGGGTTCCCCTTTTCAGTGGCCCCTGGTTCCCGATGTTTTGGATCTGATAATTCGGTTGCCGATGCATTTGATCGAAAAAAATTTTTTCCCTTTCTTCCCGATACAAAAAACCCGGTAGGATAGATTTGTTCGGCGTGTCCCCTTGTGACCCAAAAATCCCCCCCTTGTACCAGGTTTACAAGCCGCCAGTGTGCGCGATTAAGGTACATTCGGTACATCCGTATTTTCCCTATTATCACTGTTTTTGGTGTTGTTTCTGCAAAATAAAATCACCTGGGCCCCCGAAAACTTTTTGTGAAACCCCTTTTTAGAAAAAAGGTGCTAAAAAACTATTTTAAATGAAAAGAGTTATTGCAAAATAAAAAATGGAGTGGTGTGTCGAAGCTGGGGCCCGGGTTTTTGTAAACCCAATCAACTTCTTACTTTGTGAGAGGGGGAAAAGGAATAAAGGGAGTGTTTTGTAAAAGGGCAACTGTGATTACAAAAACAGCGACCGAAAGTGTAGAAAATTTAAAGGGAGTTTTGGTGGGATAAAAAAAAAGATAGCAGAGATGACTCTCAAGCGATCATTTGTAAAAAGGGGGATGAAAATCACCCTCACAAGTTTTTGCACCCTGTGGTGACTATTACATGACAATGTTTAAAAACTTTTTGGGAAGTCAAAAAGGAAGAGGGGTACAGGCCTCTATGGACAAAATGTTTGCGAAGAAGTCCAGGATTTCGTGGTCCTGGGGGCTTTAAAAGAAAAAGGGGAAGAACCCCAGAAGAGGACTTGCTACCTCAAGTCCTAAGGGAAAGGGGGTTCCCTTTAAAACTAAGACCACCCACACTTCCCCCCCTCCCCCTCCCTCAATCATTCCGATTTTTAATGAAGGAAAGTGTATGAATTGTGCATGTCTTCTTCGTTTGTGTGTATTAAAATTAATATTTCGGGTAAAAAATTTTTTTCTTTTTTTTTGGGTGTTTGATGGTTAATTTGTTTTCCTTTTTTTTATGGGGAAAATGTTTTGTTTTCCCGAAATTTTTTGGTTTTACGATGAGCTCTCAGGAACAGATTAAAAATCGTGAACGGGGGTCCATGTATAAGTGAAAATTTGTATTTTAACCCTTTGATTGTCACAACCCCAATCCTGAGGTACTCCGGGTGTCGCAAAAATTTAAAAAAAAAATAATTTTTTCTTTGAATTGATAGAGAATCTTTTCCCGATGGTTGACACCAAAAGACGAAATTTGAGGGAAAAACTTGGGAATTCGCTCTCGCGAAGTTAGCGACCTCGGTGTATTTACGAATCGGGTTTCGCCCACTTTGACCCCCTATTGTTCCGCAACCGATCATAGCTATTTTTTAGAACTCCCTTTTTTTTCTATTGATTGAGTCAAAAAATTGCCCAATTTTTCCAAATTTTAAAATTTCCCCAAAAAAGTGGTCAAAATTGGGAATTTGGCAATTTCCTGCAAATTAAAAAAATTTGCCAAATTTTAAAAAGGGTCCAGAAGAACAAGCAGACACTCCTGGCTCAAAATAACATTTTCTTTGTTTGTCGGTCAATCTCCAGGACCCCCTTTATATTACTCTTGCTTTCTACTTTTAATTTTTATTCAACAAAAATAGAAAATTTTTTGTTTTGCGACTACTGAATATTTCAATAATTGTATAAATAATGTCAACCATTATGACGGTATTTTAAAGGCTAGTTGGACATTTTTTGGACAAATTCGTATTTGTTTACTTTTTAAAAAAACTGCAAAAATTTAAACTTTCCCCCACTTTTTAGCTCCTTTCAAGGTCCTTTTATAGTAAAACCAATAAAATCATCTCTATTTCTGAAAAATATTTTCCTTCTATCAAATGAGACCAAGAAAACGGAATACAAACATAAATTCTTTAAAAAAAATCCCCAAAATTGGCGCTTTAAACCAAAACCAGTCGGAGTTTTTTCTATTTGCCGCGTGCGCAGGATATTTTTTTTAAAAAGGCACACCTCCCCGCAGACCTCTCTCAAATGGGGCCTACCAGCTTTCTCCGCTTGATTTGAAGCCCCTGAAAAAAATTTTTTAGTATACATACGTCAAACATTTTGGCTGTAAAAGTTTACTTTTAAACCCAAACAGTCAAAGGGTTGAGTTATTATTGCCTTAAGGGGGATTTTCTGTGGAATTCCAGGGCGCACATATAGGTGAGGCAAGGATGATTCGAGGGGTAGTGTAATTAAGTGTGCTGTTTGTGGTACTAGAACAAAAAAAGGGGATTCAACTGATCTGGATACCCATTTTGTTTTGTGCTGAATGTTGGGTTTAATTTCAATTACGTCAAGGACAGACCTAGGAAAATTTTCCCTTTTTTTTGCCTTGCAGTGGGGAAATTTTTAATCAAAACATTTAGTTGGGTATTTTCAGCTCTTTTCCAAACATCATAAAAAGGTTTATATTTTTAAGAAAAGTTTATTGGTAATTTTTCCGGAAATAGCATTTATGAGCTCCTCAAAAACAGTGTTTTTGAGATTTTTTTCTGTTTGGATGGGAGATGAATGTTGCACTAAAACAAAATAGGATAAGTTCTTCAGTAAATTTTCGGAGGTCATTGAAGTTTTTAGGAAAAAGCAGAGAGCGAAAACACTCCTTGGGCAGCCTATGTCATTATGTCCTGTTGAGGGGGTTTATGTCCTTGTTGGACATATTGGGTTGTTGTTAAGGTAGGACTTGGGGTATAGTGTTGGCCCAGATCCCCAAAAGATAAAGTTTAAGATGAGGATTTTGTGGTATGCTA